CGTATTTGTCCCGAAACTGCTTATCTTTCCTATGGCAAAGTTTTCTACCTCAATTAGCGAATTTTGAGTCCCCTTTATCCCCTTTATCATCCATGCAGAAGGAAGACAAAAGTAGCGGGATGATAACATTTCGTTTAATCTTCTTAATGGTCGACTAACTATTGTCCCATTCAGTTGAAATGTTAAGAGGACCACCGATTGGAGTACTTGGGGTCCGTGATGGTCTTAAACGGCTTTGGCTATAATGATGTCGCAAAATTAGGGCACAGTTGACGATTCAAACTAGATCGTGTGTTTGTTATTTAATGCTTAATTAGCTAACAAAACTTCATTCAAAGGAAACCACAATCTAAACATCTGTTGCTGGATAGTACATTGAGTTCTTTTCAACAATACAAGCTTTCACCCTTCGACAGGGAATCTTTTCATGCTTTTCGATGAAAACGTGTACCATATTGTCTGTAAACATCTGTTCCATCACTCTTTTTTGCGGTTGTCGGTGTAAACTGAAACCGCTCAATAAATTCGTTCTTGCCAATGTCGATCGCTATCAATACTCCCGTAATCAGTCATGACCTCAATGACTGATTAAGCTCAGTACGTGATCCACGAAGAAGTGCATTGCTCAAACACACTAAGGGCGTATTAGACCCAGGTTGTGATAACCTTTGGTCAGTGAACCTCTTTGTGTGCTCTAGGAAGGACTATTGTGATTATCGTTCCATCATTCATATAGATGCGTCAGTGCGATGACGGATATCGATCGATTGGAAACCTAACATTCTCTAAACCCCGCTCACCAGCTAGGTTAATCGGGACTATCGTTCACTTGTTTGCACATCCACGTTAGTGGAACAGAGCCCATGGATCAATCAAATTTCATTCGCAACAGTAAGGCTGATCTTGCGACCGCAAACCTGGTGTGACTTTGGTGACGAAAGTAACAAAAATGACCACAAAAGCCAAATAAAAACATTCCAATGTCCCCACAGTATTGCAGAAGAAACCTGTGTAGAGTACCAAGATTTATCTGTGGCAAAATCATTTATTATCTGTTGTTTTAGCTCTTCGCCAACAAATACGTTCTCTATGGCAATTGTACGCTGCGTTAATTCACCAGAAATCCGAGCCTTAGCCAAGGCAAACTACTTGAGTTGACCCACGCTTATCTAATTGAGAGAATTTTCCATGGATTCACTGATTCATATTCATGTTTGTGTGTCCAAGCTTGTTTGTCTGACGAGATACATGGTCATGATAATATACATTTATGTTGGATTACTAATTTTCTACCGAAGACCAAACGTAAATATTCCCGGAATGAACATTTGGATTAGCAAATCATGCCCTGGTCCATTGGTTTTAACAATGAAGAACGCTTTGGAGGCAGCTATGTTGATTTTACATTCAAGAATTCTGCGGCCTCGTTATGGAGAGGGCCGTTATCTACAAATTGGAAAATAGAGGTTCTTTGGAAAACCATGTAGCGCGTGATATCGGACAGACAACTTTGAAGTAATGCAGCAGTGATGGCTGTTCTTCAGTCATGCTCGAACAAAGAAGTAAATTGATTCTTTCCTTGGGCTTCTTGTTTGTATTTTGTGACTCAGTTTTACTTCTGGGAGCTGCTTGTATTATGAATCTGTTTCGTCAGCATTGAATATATCACCATGAGTGTATCCATGGTTCAACTGCTCTAATCCCACTCAGAGCTCGTCTATTGTATCACGTAGTACCGTTGAACTTCGCTAGTTTCTGTCTTTGTAGAACCGAAAGACCAAGAACGAAACCAACCGTCAGATACCTTGTGGTTACCATGATGCATTTTTTGTGCTAGTTCAATCACCTCGGAAACGATGCACTCCACCATCGACAGCTCACTGTATTTCCCCCATAGCAGTAAATCATGCATCACTAACTGCCTTGACGGCCTCCCAAGGCCTCATTATGGTTGGGGGTGGGTGTCTAGGGTTGCGTCTGGTCACCCTGCCCTTGTACCTCACGAAATGCCCCCATACGACCAAGCGTCTCAAATAGCCTCTGCTGAGGAAGCCCTACTCACTGCCTTCTCGCCGCGGAGGTGTTTTCCCACCAAAGTGAGAGGACGAAAAGCCGGTATCCGGGGCTATAGCCGGGTTGGTGGACCACTGGCAGTTCACCTAGGAGAGTTGGCCAAAAACCCTGATTCCAAATCAACCATGAGGAGACGTACGAACCACACCCACACCTTTTCGGTTGTGGCAGTGGTCA